AGAGTTCTATAGATAGATCATACTAAGTTAACTCTCTTAGCCACTGTGGCATTTGGTGTTTTGTTCAAATGAAATCTGTCCAGAAGCAACTAGTTCATATTCCTAAGGCAAGGTTTCTCATCTTCAACACTATGACATGTTGGACCAGATCATTTTTCGTGTGGGAGCTGCCCTGTATTGTAGAATGTTTAGCAAAATCCCAGACCTCTATCCACTAGATGCCAGTAACAGCCCACACACACAGTTGTGACGACCGAAAATATCTCCAGATCCTGTCACCAAATGTTCCCTGAGGAGCAAAATCACTTCTAGTTTAAGACCACTGGACAAATTATAAAAGGAACACTTATCATGCACATAATGCTATGTGAATTTTAGCAAAAAAAAATATGTGTGTGTGTGTGTGTGTGTGTGTGTATGCGTGTGTGTCTTAAAAGAATAAACTATTCCCAGGAAAATGGTTTAAGAATTCATTCCCAGTTTTCTATAATAGCATTTTCAAGGCATAATGCATATATTATGAGATATAAAAACATAAAGTCACATATTTAGGATTACCTAAGCTTTGTTACTATGGCTAAAATGTTTTGTCAATTTTCTCTTTCCTGTTCCCCAATAATACCTATGCCTAAAGCATCCATTTGGATGTTCTTTTTTTGTTTTTTGTTCTTGTTTTGTTTTGTTTTGTTTTGTTTTTTAACATCATGGCCATGTGGGAGTGTTTTTAAACCCTAACAGATACATGGCAGGGACTAAGAACTGGAGGGATTGGGAAACTCATCCTAAGGTTCTCTCTCATAGAGCCTGGCCTGATGCATTTTCTTTAGATATGGTACCTCTATGCCTCAGATGCAATAGCAGCCTTTCTTGTCATGGTTTAAGCAAGGGTTTCCCTGTAAATTCATCCAGTTTATGTTAGGATTTGGGAAGAGCTTATTTCAGACCACCAGAATTAGGGGATCAAGATGGTGTGCTAAGTCTCTTCTTCCCAGTACATTGTCCATTCTAAATAACTCTCTGACTTGACTGGCAGTATTGGAACTTGCTGGTAAGAATGAAATATCATTCTTGTGTGCTGGATAGGATTAGAGCAAATAGAAAAAAATGCATTAAATTTTCCCCCAAGTGTTCCCTTTGTAAGTATCAGTTTAGTTGGCTGGTTTCTTTATGTTTCTTCTCCATTTTCCCCATAAAATTCCCTGTAAACTCTGCCTGTCAATCCAGTCCTCGTTGCCTTCACTTTTAATACTTCAGTTGGTACATTTTGCAAAGTAAACAAGCCACGCTCAAGAATCAAGTGCATGATTCACTCCATTGATGGGAGAGGCTGCAACTGGATTTCTAAGAGAAGTTAAACCACCACGTAGTGAATAAGAAAGACTGTTTGTGGAGTGATCATGGAATAGCTGTGGTGGAATGGGGTCATTATGAGCCCCAAATAAGTCTTTTTGTTCACTTCCTCATAAATAAGATCTGTCAAGGATAAGATCTAAAGGGGATTTTTAAGTGCAAATCATGATTTTTGTAGAAAGGACTCTTTTCCCTAGTTGCTAGTACTGTTGCATGCTTAGAAAGCAAGCGTTGGTTAAGCTTCCACTGAACATTTACTAACATGTAATGTTGGCCTCTCTTTGGGTTCTCACCCATCAGCTTTCTGCTGGCTCAGGAACCCATCTTCTATGCTCCCACCATCTTGGCATTGGCCGTCCTATACTGAAATCATTACTTATTTCCCTAAGCTTCTTTGCATTCATTCATTCACTCATTCAACCTATGGTTCTTAAGTATCTATTATGTCCTAGGCTCTATTCTAGGCAACAAAGCCAGTGTGTCCTCAATTTTGTCAAAGCTGACATCCAGAGTGAGAAGGTAGTCAGTAGTACCTTGTATTAGTCAGTTCCACCACCATAACAAAATACCATTGTTTAGATGGTTTTAAACAACAAAAGTTATTTTTCTCACAGTTCTTGAGGCTAGAAGTCTAAGATCAAGGTCTGGCTAACTCAGTTTCTGGTGAGGACTCTCTTCCTGGCTGGTAGATGACTGCTTTCTCACTATGTCCTCACCCAGCCTTTCGGAGAGCAAGTTCTCTAGTGTCCCTTCTTATAAGGACACTAATTCTATCAGATCGGGGCCCCACCCTGTTGATCTCATTTAACCTTAATTTCTTCCAGAGAGGTTCCATCTCTAAATACTGACACATTGAAAGGAGTTCAACATATGCATTTTGGAGGGACATGAACATTCAGTCTATAACATACATAAAGAAATTTTTAAAAATCACTACTTTTGATGGTGATAAGAAAGATGAAAAAAAAAATAAATCACAGGAGAAGAATAGAGAGCAAATGGGGTGGAGATGATGGTTGCTACTTTAGCTACAGAACTCTCTGAAGAAAAGATAAGTGAGTGAGGCCAATAATGAGAAAGAAGTAGCCTTAGGGAGATTTGTGGAAATAAGCATTGTAGGTAGAGAGAATTATAGGTTTAGTGGCCCAAGACAGAAGTGAGAATGACAGAATCATGCAACAGAAGAAGATCAATGTGGCTGGAACCTGGCTGGCTGATTTAGAGGAGTAGGAGAAAATACTAGAGAGGTAGGTGGTAGCCTGTTTGTGCTAGCCAATACCAGGAATGAAAATTTTGTTTTCATTGCAATGAAAAGCCATTGGAAGATTTTAGGCTGATTAATGTACAGATAAGATACAATTTAAGTGGCTCAAGAGAGACACTCTACTATGTAATGTTTTAAAATCTTACCCATCTTTGGTTCACATAGTAAATGATCGATAATTCTTTTTAAGTGAAAAGATGGATGTTTGCTTACACAGTAATTGATTTTGTTTAGAAGTTGGGTTTATTAGGTATAATCTACATAGAGTATATATTTACTCTTTATAGTGTCCAAACCTGTGAGTTCTGACAAGCACACAGTCACAGAACCACCAGACAAGACAGAACAGTTACATCACTTCCCAAAATTCCGTCATGCATCGTTATAGTCGGTTCCATCCCCCAAACTCAGCCTTCAGCCTCCACTGATCTGTATAGTTTCTTTCTTAATAGTTTTGCGTATTTCATGTTGTGGTATAAATGGAATTATAAAATATAGAGTCTTTTGAGCCTGACTTCTTTCATTTTGCGTAGTTCACTTAAGTTTCATCATGTTGAATGTATTGGTAGTTCTTTCCTTACTGCTTAGTAGTGTTCTGTACGGATGTACCACAGTTTGTTTATCAATGTAGTTGAAGGATATTTGGCTTGTTTCCCATTTTTGGCAAGTCCAATCAGTCAAGCTTCTATAAACATTTGCTTTAAGTTTTTTTGTATAAACTTAAGGTTTCATTTATCTTGAGTTCATATCAACCACTGAGATTGTTGCGTTATAAGATATGTGTGTGTTTAACTTCATAAGGAATTGGCAACCTGTTTTCTAAAATGACTATACCATTCTGCATTTTCACCAGCAACAAATGAGAAGCCCACTTTCTCTGAATCCTTGCCAGCACTAGGATTGTCTTCTTTTTTCTTTTCTTTTTTTTTGCCATTCTAATATGTATGCAGTCAATATCATTTCTTTTAAACTGCACAGCTGTAAACTTAGAGGTCTGAAGGATGTAATGTGTAACAGAGTAACTCTTTCAGCTGCAATTTTTTAACCAAAAGAGTGTGACCTTATAATCCTTGTTGAGAGCTAGATAAAGTAAATTTAAGACTATAGACCCCAATCCTTGCTTGAAGACTTTTCAGACTCTAAGATTAAAGAATTCCCCTCATTGAATCCTGGAAACCTTGAAATCTAGCTCTTCTACATTCAGGTGAAGTCTTTGTAGAATGCTTCTTTAGAATGGTAACCTATGAGAGTCTCTATTCAAAATATCAGTGACCTCTGAGGGGTGTTTTTGACCCCAAAACTCCAACTTCAGTGATGCTATTAAAAAAAAATCAAAAGTAGTAGTTGATTTTTGCTAAGAGTACAGCAAAGTGAAATTACGATTTTGTTACCACTGAAACCCATTTTCCCAATCTATCCTCACATCAGTGAAGCAATTCATCAAAGGCAACCTGTTTTTTTTCCATTCTGTGGCTGACCCCTCTGGCCTTTCACTTACCAGTGAGATAGGAAGGAAGAAACATGATTTGAAAATCTGACAAATTTGAGCATTAGGTAGCTTGTGAACTCTATAAGGTATAGTGTGAGCAGAGATGGCTGTGTCACTGATTTAAGTACCTAGAAGCTGCCCTTTGAAAGATCTGTAGAAAGATCTGATTTGTGAAACCCTGATCTTGCCCAGTATCATTTTATAATTGTTCGACGAAGGGCTCTGAAAGACTCAAAAACTTAGTGCTTTTCACTGAGTCTACAGGAGTATATATCACTGAGCTCTAGAATCTCCTTGATTGAATCCAGAAAATACTCCTATCCCCAGCTAGACACAAATCACAAATTATCCACTTCCTCCTCTTTTCAGGAAGAAAATATTTAGCTTGGTTTCCGCATGAGTCCACGGACTTCTGCCTAGCACAAATCATATAGAAACTCTCTAGGAGCTGACCCTATTCTCTTAAATGAAGAGATAAGTGCAATTTGTGTACACATAACATTGGCCACCTTTATAAAGCTTGGTGCTATCATTTTGCCTTTCCCTCAAAGAGCTTTAGCATTGCCTAAAAAAAAAAGAAAAGAAAAGAAAAACGAATAAAAAAATAATGCTCATGGCTTTTCTCCCCCAGTTGGTTAAACATCCTATTACACTCACCTGGCATAAGAGATTTTGTGCAGCCAGTTTTATAAGATGACTCAAAGTTGTCATTTTGTTCAGAACGATTTATTTCTCTTAGTGGCATCAAATGCTAAATCTCCTGGATGCTCCTGTTCACCGTTGGTGGAAAAACACGAGGGTGGACTCTGTCTTTCCCAGAGGTGCTTGGTAGCATTTGATTAGCAGCCAGGCATGCAGCAGCTTCATGAATCTTCTTTATTTGTTTTCTGTTTGCAGATTTTATTCTTCACCGTACAGTATTGCAACCAACCGCATGATTCCACAGACATCTATCACGCCATTCATTGCTGCTTCCCCTGTCTCCACATACCAGGTATGTCCGATTTACCTGCACCTGAGGAGAGGTCTTTCTGGCCAATGATAGACTATCTTGAGGCAAAAGGGACACAATAGAATGTTTTTTAATTATCCTCAAACACATCAGTCACATCTTCATGTAATAATACTCAAGTTTTAGCCCACACTGTGAAGGGCTTGTTTGCATCTATTTGACTGAGTACTAAAGTCCACTGTGTTCTTCATTCTTCCGGCTGAGTTTTTATGATTATGCTCCTTTCCAGCCAACATTAATTAGTGCAGCCTTCTTGCCACTGAGAACCTACTTTGGTGGTTGTCGGTTATTTGGGTTGTCACGTTCCCTGTTGTGTCTTCTCTACAAGCACACGTCGGGCATTCCCCTCACTCACTCCGGGATATTTTATCATTGTCTTCTCATTTTGTCACAGTTTTCCTGTGTGTCCATGTCGGTTACATGGACAGATGTTAAATCATTTTCCCCAAGAAATAGGGAGGACTCTCAAAGTGGTAAAATGTTATTCCTGCTTCCTGCTCTTACTTCATTCTCAGTCCCGAAGAGGTCAAAAGAGACCTCACGGGTTCCACATGTTGAAAAACAAAAAAAGCCAAGACTCAATGTGTGTCCTAACGCAGATGTTGTAGCCAGTCAATTCTAAGTACACAGGTGGATTAAAATAGTCATACTTCTCCCTCAAAAAATACTCCTTGTCTTATGCCTTTGAGTTATCGAATGTGCTATGACTCCATGCTTCTCTCTACCTCATATTGTTCTTCAGACAATTCTTCTAATTCTAATTAGACAGTGCCTATAGACGCTACATATAGAGGGTGCCTAGTGTCACCTTTCCCAACTTTGGAGAGAGAAAAAGTGAGAGAGAGTGTACGTGCGTGCATGCATGTGTTTCTCTGTATTTTGCAGATGGTGGGGGTGGGTGTTTTACGATGGGTAAAACTGTAATGTTGCTGACTGCTACTAATTCAGTGAAGTTTCACCTTATTCAACCATTACATAATTCATTTCAGGATGTCCCAGCTGTCAGAGCATCAAACTTGAGACTATATACATTTTTCCTTAAATGATTCCCCCTGAAGCAGATCATTTTCATTCTTTTTCTGCACTTAGGTTCTTGATACATGTCGGTGGGTGAACTGAATCGAATTTCATGTGAATTGCATTTGAGGGTCTCAGAATGGATGATTTCTTAATTGCCTTTTCTTGGGACCCATGAGGCTATGTGCAGGTGCT